ATGCTCTTGTAGGCGTGCGGCTTGCGTGCTGTGTGGATCACCGATAACTTGAGCTTACAGGTACCGGAGGCATTGGTGGTAAACAGGACGGTGATGCGCTCCTTCTGCAACTTCCGGCCCCGACACTTGCTGGCATTTTTCACAACGAAGGTCATGGAAGGTAGCTTTTTCCAAAAAAGACCAGATTCGTCCATGTTAAACACCTGGTCGGCGGTGTACTGTCCTTCCTCCATAATCTCACGTAAAAAAGGAGGAAATTCCCTAGCCGCAACACGGTTAGCACTAGCTTCTTCACCACCAATGTTAATGTTGGTGATCTTGTTCCTCTTCTTAAATCTCTGCAACCACCCAGAGGAAGCATTGAAGGGTTTGGGCTCTGCAATTCCCATCATACGTGACACTGCAGCATACAGTTCACGTGCGTACTCCTTAACTGAGCGCGTGTCCACCGCCATGTTCCATTGTGGTTGACGAATCAAGTAGCTCACAAGTAATTTCTCCGTCTTGAGAAGCACCTGGTTGTGGCAATACTTGATCATAGTAGCACCTGTAGACTTTGTGATGTTCATGTGCTCCTTTATCTTTGCTGCATTCTTCTTAATTGTCCTGATCGTAGACTCGTTAACACCATGCTGGCGCGCGAGATCAACCTGTCTTGTTCCTTTCTCCAACTCTTGGATGATCTTGTATTTAATTTCGTAGCTTAGGGACCTTCGTATTTTCTTTGGCTTAGGGCGGCTGGGTCCAGGTAATGCAAGATTTCTTTGTTGTGGTGGGGTGGTCCGGTGGAAGCCATTCTTATGGAGCAATGGATACCGATATACACAGTGTAGCTGGGAGGGGTGTAACTGACGCGGGTAGGTCAAGGGGCTTGAACGCTCCTGCGGCGTGGCCCGTCATATTACATTAAACCAATCACAGCTAGCGGGGGAGGGAGGTAAGGATGCTTGGGCTAATCACAGTCCGATACGTCATATGATGTCACCGATAACGCGACAAAGACATACACTGCGCAACCTACTCGCGCAGCTTACCCAACATGGCGGGAGAGGGTGGGAGAGATGGCTGGAGGTTTGAATCCAAAAATGGCGCTGCGCAAGAGGACCGCCAGCCGCTCTCCGTGTAAAAGGGTACACGCACCGCGCAAAGTGAGCATTCCGTGTTCGGCAGGGTAACGCGTAAAGTGAAACCGCGTAACCGCGTAAAGCGGGGTTTTACTGTATATTATCAATATGTTAACTAAATTTCAGAATGACCAATAATTTTGATGTAAGAATGCAAAAATATTCAAGAGACCAACAAAATCGATGTTCACTCCACTGTAAACAAAGTTAAACTGAGAAGCATTGTTGGGTAATTGAATCAGCTGATGGGCACACAAAAACTGTTCCTTGTACTGTCTATATTATCAATATGTTAATTAAATTTCAGAATGACAAATAATTTTAATATAAAAAATGCAAAAATATTCAAGAGCACAACTTTCTTGATATTTACTCCACTGGAAATGAATGTAAACATAGAATCAATTACTGTATTGGTGTACTAGTGGATCAGCTGATGTACACAACAAAGCGTGTTTCTCGTAAGGCTGTCGTTAATCGAAGTTTTGTTCGTTAATGGAACTGTTGCTGAAGTTGTTACTGAACTTGTAGTTGCTGAATTTGATGCTGTAGCTGATGCTGTAGCTGTTGCTGTAGCTGAAGATACTGTAGCTGAAGTTGACGGTATAGCTGATGTTGACGGTGTAGCTGATGTAGATGGTGTAGCTGAAGTTGTTAGTTTAGGCCTTCGAATAATAAAATTGTCTAAAGAACCTTGCACAGCTGCTTTCTTATTCTCATTATACATCTTTATTTAGAAGTCATATGCATTTTTAACATCCCTGTTTATTTTAATACTTCGTTCTGTTAATGGATCCACTTCAGAAAATATGTTCATCCCTTGCTCCATGTGAGCAAAGCACGCGAAATATCCACACCCCTCTCATCTTTTTCATATCGTTTTAACACATCTAGTTTCTCGGCTAAGCTTATACACTTTCTTTTAGCCTTTGAACCAGCACTACTATCACTTGCTCTCTTGCTCAAGTTTTTCTCCTGTTGCTGCTCAGATATGTAAAACAAAGGGACCGCCACACTCCGACTGTTGTTTACCGGTGATGCGCATTAACACTCATTAGCCAGGCAGCTTTTTTGCACAAGGCTCTCTTCTTTTTTTTTTACAGTAATTTTTTGTTTTGTTTCATATTACATATCGGGATTTAGTTATTATTTATATGAAAATGTAATTTAATTTTAATTTTATTTTATTATATTTTGGTCATAAATACGAATGAAATAAGGACGTAAACTGAATTGGGTCCTAAATTAACTAGGGTTTTAAAAATGAAATGTTGTTGGTCGAACCATTGTTTCAATGGGATTTGGGGTAATTGGTTCCAGCTCACCGAAAATTACATACAAACTAAAAATAAATGCATTAAAGTACACTTACTTTGAGGTGTGCATGTAGAAGGCTCCTGGTGGATGATGATGATGATGATGGGAATTAGAAGTGGGGGTGGAGGAGAAGGGAGAAGAGAAGGCAGTGGGGTGGAAGAGAAGTCACCCCATGCTTCATGCCGCCATTTCACCCATAAAATTTTAAGTTCGCTTGGTGTAATTCAAGATTATTTTCTTTAAATCAACATTGCACTGCATTATATGTTGTCAATATGTAAAATAAATTTCAGAACGACCAATAATTGTACTGTAAAAATGTAAAAATAGTTTATGTTCAAGAGTCTCAAGCAAGATGCTTCCTCCACTGAGCAGAGACACAAACTGACACCATTCTGGGTGAGTCAAGTGGCTGTTTGGCGCACTAAAAACTCGTTCCCTGTACTTCAATTATGTTACATAATTTTTAAAATGACTAAAAAATTTAATATAAAACTTGGAAAATTATTGAATAGTCCAACCTTCTTGATATTTACTCAAATGGTAACAAATTTAAGCCCTTAAACCGATTACTGTATTGGCGGACTAATACTACAGCTGGTGAGCAGGCGAAAGCAGGCGAAAACATGTTGGAAAAAATTCGTAAGGAATTCTTTAACCGAATTTTTTCGTTAACCGAATTGAATATTCTTATGGAATCTTATGGAAGGTAATTCGTTAACCGAAATTTCTTTAACCGAGGGATCACTGTACAGGAGGTCCCCAGGTTACGAATGGCATCTGTTCCTGAGGACATTCCTAAGTTGGATTTATACGTAAGTTGTAACACATGCAATGTGTATACCTTACTTACAGAACAATGTTTAAAATCCCACTATATCATAGCCTAAGTCCTTATACAGTAAGATCTCATATTTCGCCCGATTTCATTTCGCGTTTTTGAATTTCGCGAGCACCACCTAATGTAACCAAGTCTTATATTTGGCGTAAAATATCGTGAATTTCGCGAGAGCCAGTCAACTGAACACGAGATCCAGCAAGCTGAATGCTGGCCACTGTCTTGAATGATGTCACAGCCCTCATACCAGTTACACTCATTTCTGTTACAATGCGTGTTTTGTCAACATGAATTGGTTGCAACGCTATTGATGAATAGGGGAACGCTGTTTGTAAAACGCGAACTTTTGCATACGAATGTTGGCTATAACATGATTTCATCCTCATTGTTTTGATTCCATCCTTAATGTTTTCAGCGTGGCGCGGGGTTATGCAATTACAGTTCACGTTCGATATCACATTTTCAATTGATTCTTGTCTTTTGTTTGTCAAGTGTTTTTTGAGAGGTATTCTATAAATGTCTTTGTTTTTTGCTAATTGAGCTGTTACCCATAAATACTGCATGAAACGAATAAGTAAAATGAATGTTTCACAGTGAGGACTAATAATGGTTTACACCCTCTCTCTGTTTACGTGACGTGATCAGTTGAATTGCGCGGTTTCTGTCAATTACTCCATGATTTTCGCTATTTTCTCCAATTTTTGTGTTAGCGATTAATACGGAAAGAGAAGGTAAGAAGAATGTTTCCAAAAAGCTTTCTGGTGATCGAATTGCCGGTGGTGAATGTAAAAGAGGTTTACAAGAACGCAACTATCGTGTTGTTGCTCGCGCCATCCTAGCGATCGCCCGGGCTACTACTGTGTGCTTTTTTGGGTGGTGCTACCACCTGGGGGCCCTACTGGTGCTGGTGGGGGTGGGACAGACCCACCTAAGAGGCCAAATAAGGAAAAGGAGAAGCGGGACTATCATAAGGGAGTTAAGTTTGCCAAGTACTCGTTAGAGGATAAGCAGCGTGTGATTAAATCACATGAGGATGGCCTAAAACTAGTTTCCGGAAGACACAATCAAGTCAATAAAGGCATAATTTGTATCATTTGGAGGTTATAAATGGGAAATTCAGAGGTTGATGTAGAGTGGTCAGTCTATATTGTTATTTTTCCCATTAGTTTATGTATTTTCATTTGGCGAATTTGAATTTGACGCAAATTTTCCAGTCTATATTACTCGTGAAATACAAGATCTTACTGTATGCATTTAAAATAACTTAATTTAGGACGAAAGAAGAAATAGAATGACAAAATGCAGTAAATGAAGGTAAAATATAAGTAATCAGGTAAATAAAATACTATAAATTTTAAGTTTATCCCCATTCGTATCTGCAGGTGATCGTTACTCGGGGACCCCCTGTAGTCTTATTCCTAACCCAATCATACCACTTTATTCCCAAATTCTTCTTGGGGCCTTGTTATCAGAAACTCGAAATCATCTAGATATAGTTTCGTTTTCTTACCATGATTCTTCACCATACATCAACACAGATCTCATCAATGTTGTATATACTGTATATAGGTTCATTTTGGTGTGAATTGGTAGTCTATGGGACTTCCAAACCTTGCCTAGCGTACCCATAATTTGATGAACTCTTCTTGTTCTTTCTGTGAATTTTAAGTAGCAGATTTAACATATGTGAACATAACCTAATGTAATTGATGATTTGACAGCCTCCAAAAAAGAAAGGAGATAAAGCTAAAGGAAAGCGTGGATCCAAGAAGACAGGCAGTGGACGTGCACAAACTCTGATAGATGGCATTCCAATTAATACTATGAGCAAGGAGCAACTGGAGGGTCATGTGATCAGGTAAGGAGCAGATTAGTGCCCTACTATATACCTATTTCAGTTTAACAGACAGTGTTATTATGTTATTTATTAATATTTAATATAAGAAGCAAAGTTTCAGTAATTTCTTAAACCTCTGTTTGGGTCAGCTTTCTGTGGCTCAGTCTCTGTTTCTTAAGATAACTGCTTCATATCCCATTACAGGTTGACAATCCTTTATCCGAAATTCCGAATACCGAAAAGCTCTGAAAACCGAAAGTTTTTTGTGAGCATAATTTTTTTTTTTTTTCCCAGGGATTAGCCCACCCAGGCATAGATCACTGACCCACATTGGGGCCTGGGGGGTGAAAATGTAATGGTAATACTAATTATTATAATAATAATAATAATAATAATAATAATAATAATAATAATAATTATAATAATAATTATTCATAGTAAATAAAAATTTTAATTAAAAAATACACCAAAATAAAATAATAATGGTAACAATAATGCTGTATTAATAAAATAATAATAATAATAATAATAATAATAATAATAATAATAATAGTAGTAATAATAATAATAATAATAATAATAATAATAATAATAATAATAATAAAGAAATACAAGAATGAAAAGATAAAAAAGTGAAAACCGACCTAGACCCTATGAATTATTATTATTATTATTATTATTATTATAATTATTATTATTATTATTATTATTATTATTATTATTATTATTATTATTATTATTATTATTATTATTATTATTATTATTATTATTATTATTATTATTATATATTATTATTATATTTTCGCCCCCCAGGCCCCAATGTGGGTCAGTGACTTGTGCCCGGATGGGCTAATAAAAAAAAAAAAACATTCTGAAAACCGAAAAATTCCGAAATCCGAAATGCCTCTGGTCCCAAGGATTTCGGATAAGGGATTGTCAACCTGTAGTTAGTACATTTCGTTGTGTTCTAGCTATGTCACAGTCCTCAGTGTAAGATTCAGAGGAAACTATTTTCAAGCATTAAGTTATGTTTATTTACACACCAATTTTGGTTTACTTGGTGGGCTGGTTTAAACTACTGACATCATCTGCTCTAAGTTGAGATAATATCAACTTTCATAATGTGTGATTCAATTTGTATTTTGAAGTATCTGATTTCCTGGCCTACTGGGGGTTTGAGGAAATTTTCAGGTGTGAACTGAGTCAGTGGTGTGTTCATGTATACTGCCTCTCATGCCATGAACAAAAACTAAAGAAAAAAAGCATTTATCCAAAAGCACTTGGTCATATATGCATCCAAATTTCAACTTCTTAGCTCCAAATATGCTTTAGATATCACCCATACAAGCAAGCAAGAAATTAAGAAAGAAAACAAACAAATAGCTATCTTATAACTTATTACTAAAATATTACAGCAGTTATTATGATGTAGTGGTTATGAGCTTTGTTTACATGTTAAAGGGTCAATTGGTACTGGCCAAAACCATTTCCATCCCCCACTTTTCCTCAATAGAGCACCCAAACCCTACCTGACACTCTGGATATATTTTTGAAAATTTATTATTAAGTTTACTGTCAGAACTTTAACAGAATCTTGAGCAGTAACAACAACGGTGGTTGAGAGATGGTGAGTGCTGGCAATTAGGGATATCATGAACTATTAGCTGTTACCACCCAGTAAACAAGAGACCTGGAATATACTGCAGAGCAATAGCTCATCTGGGATTGAGTGTAGGATTTTTTGGGGAACAAATTAATTTTGTTCAATCCAGAATGCGACGTCTTGCTTTATATCTCCATATGTATATGACCTTGCATTAACTCGCCAGGCCAACATACAGGTAATTAAAACATTTAATAATTACTTAAATACGTAATACAGCTAGACCCCGACTTACGACCGTCGGGACTTACGACCGCCGCAGTTGTAACCATTTTTTTTTTTTTAATTTTTATTTGTTTACAGTTGTACCCCACTTAACGCGGTCAATTGAACCCAGAGGGTCCCGCGTTAAGTGAAATCCGCGTTAAGTGAACAACAGAACATATGGGATTAATTCCAATAGAAACCGGCCTGACCCCCAAACTCCACTTTTTGAAGGCACATACCTATGTTGTAGTAAAAATAACATCTTAATTTTATGATGGTACATGCACACAATTAATACTTAAGAGAAATACAGTCGCCAAGTTAATGTCCATTCAAATAATGGACTCAACTCCCTCCCCCTCTCACACTACACTCCCTGGCTCTTCCCTCTCAGAGAAATTTTTGGGGGAAAACCACTAAATTTTAATAAATAATACCTCACACTAAAGTTAGGATAATACAATTGACATTGCTGGATTCCTTGTAAGACCAGGAATATTTTGAATATAAATGTCATATATTTTGCACAAAAGATAACATAGTTACCTAGAGAAAAATTTTTATCTAAAATTTGTATGTTTAATGAAAAATATATGATGTTTATATTCAAAATGATCACCAAATTATAAGAATTCCAGCAATGTAAATTATATTCTGACCGGGTAATTTGTATGAATTTTATGAGCTAAAACAAATATCTTCAGTTAATAAAAAAAATAATAATCTTCACAACACTATCTGTCAATCAAAGTACCCCACCTTGCCTCCCCCCCTCTTCCAACCGCGCGGTCAGTCCCAACCCTCCCCCCCACCCCCACCAATCCTCCCTTCCAGGGTTTTTAACATTTAGTATTAAATAATACCTCAGATTAAAGTTAGGATAATATAATTGACATTGCTGGATTCCTTGTAAGACCAGGAATATTTTGAATATAAATGTCATATATTTTGCACAAAAGATAACATAGTTAATTTGAGAAAAATTTTTATCTAAAATTTGTATGTCTAATGCAAAAATATGATGTTTATATTCAAAATGATCATCAAATTATAAGAATTCCAGCAATGTAAATTATATTCAGACCGGATAATTTGTATGAATTTTATGAGCTAAAACAAATATCTTCAGTTAATAAAAAAAAAAATAATTCTTCACAGGGTAACAGATGGTCGGTCGGTCCCTCCCTCCCCCCCACCCCCCACCAACCGTCCCAAGGAGATGTGTGGGATAACCACTAAATTTTAATAAATAATACCTCAAACTAAAGTTAGGATAATATAATTGACATTGCTGGATTCCTTGTAAGACCAGGAATATTTTGAATATAAATGTCATATATTTTGCACAAAAGATAATATAGTTAATTTGAGAAAAATTTTTATCTAAAATTTGTATGTCTAATGCAAAAATATGATGTTTATATTCAAAATGATCACCAAATTATAAGAATTCCAGCAATGTAAATTATATTCTGGCCGGGTAATTTGTATGAATTTTATGAGCTAAAACAGGCAGTCAGGCAGGGTGGGGGCAAATCTAAAAATAGCGTCTCGAGCCGGACACTCACCGCGTATATGTGGAAAAAATCCGTGTTAAGTGAAAGTTCAGCTCTGGCGAGGCACCGCGTATATGATAAAACGCGTTAAGTGAAACCGCGTTAGGCGGGGTAATACTGTATTTGTTTATTTTTTTTTTTTCTCTCTCTCTTCAAATGACACGCATTTTCTATACCGAAACGTTTCCAGTTAATGTAGTCTCCATGTATAATTAGAAAATTATGGGGGCCCCATGTTCATTCAGCTGACTACATTAAAGGTAAGTGCTCAGTCACACTGTATCCATTCCTCATTATTTATTACTTTCACTGTACTGTATCCATTCCTCATTATTTATTACTTTTACTGTACTGTATTTCATTGTAGATTTTTTATTAATTTTTTTTTTTTTTTTTTTATATCTATGTCGGACTTACGACCAATCGGACTTACAACCTGGATTTGGGTCCCTAACCCCGTCGTAAGTCGTGGTCTAGCTGTATTAGGAGGACATGTTGCTACCTGGCATTTAATTGCAATTCTCAAAACCCCCTACCGCACTAGGGTGTGTCATACGGAGGCGAATTTTTTTTTTTTGAGTTTGAAAAATCGGCCCATGGTATTAATGATGTAGTTCTATGTGCAGAATCATGTGATATCTTCAGATTTGAAAAGTTTTCATTTTTTGATAGGTAAATTTTAACTTGAAATCTTATGAAAATTCAGTATTCCCACCCTTTTACCAACACCACTAAATATCTTATTTAAAGTAAAGTAAATGTATCAGGTTAATTTATTAGGATGAAAATGATCCAGAATAGTGAAACGAATGATCTTGACACATTTATTAAATTTAATATTCCTTTAGAAAACAAAATCATCAAATACAAAAACCGGTTTTACTACTACGACCCTGTGTTGCTGCACACCATAGAGAACATGTCTTTCTTGCTTCTGTTTCTACTCATCACCTCCCTGCTGACCACCTGAGCTCGGATGTAGCCTTCCCTCCTCTCCTGGCTGTACACGTGACTGCTGGCCTCGCTCACTTGCTGTACACAACGCTCTATCTCTGGGTGTGCGAGGGGCCAGGCAGGGACATGCATGGGGTTGTCCAGGAAAGCTCTGAACATTGGTGAGGCTGCAGGTAAGAGGGGCTCACTGCCAGCCTGGATGTTATCCAGATCTATGAGATCAGTGAGGGTCTTGGCACCTAGATTGACTTCAGGAGTCTTCCTGACCCTGAAGGAATCGTCACCAACTGATTCATCATGCCCAGATCCTCTCATAAGTCTCATATCCAAGATCTTTTTGACTGCCACTCTTCTCTCCTCCTCATCCTTACTGCAGAGCATTGTCTGCAGAACTGCCTCGGGATGAGCATACCAGAAAGATCTCCTCACAGTCTGCTCCACAATCTGAACAACCTTCCTTGGCTGACTCCTCAGGAGCTCAAGCTGGAAAAGAACATGCCTCGGACCTTCGGAGAACGATGACTTGACCTTGGTGTTGAACCAATTTGGCAAGTAGACACTCACGATGAATTGGACAATAAGTCTCAGGTTGTGAAGCTGGTTCCCTTTCAGTTTATGATGAGCGACCCAAATTCTGCAGA